TGGAACAAAAAGTTCTTTACCGGCTTTTATATTGCATAAAAATGGTTTTATAGATAGAATACATACATAGAAAGTTTTTAACATTTGAAATATAGACTACCATGGTAACTATGTATAGGCAAGTTGACAATGTTGGTTATATTTTAAATTTTGTGAAAATTTTGCATGTTTTCCTAATTAAAAGTATCCCTGCGCTTCCTTCATATATACCAATATGACATATTTAGTATCAAAATAACAGTAATTGTATACACTGTACACTATCATTATTAATTTTCAAAATAACATTCGCCTGTGACATTTATCTGTCCTTTTGTTAGGATAACCCAGTCACTCAACCTGGTGCTATACAAGGAGGTCCACTACGGTTATCAGTAGCGATTATGAAAAATCATATATGCAGTTATTGATCATTTTCATGTATCTACATATGGCAAAAGAATAAAAGAAATCAAAGTGGGGGCCAAATGTTGACCCCACCTTTAAATACAAAAGTATATACTTACGAAAGCAAATGGGTTTTTTCCGATCTTTCGACTAACGAACAAATTTATCGGATCAGTTAAAATTAATATTCCGATGATTGACAAATAAAGCATATTCGTAAAACACTTCCAGTCGTTGATTTATATATAGTGTCGCACAAGACTACTTTTATTTTAAAATATTTTTTTCTGCTTTAGTTTATTTTTTCAAATGCTTCAGACCACTTTAGACATAAATGTTTAACCTTTTTTTCTTTTATACCATTGAAATTGATGAAGAGGCCATACGTTGCAGCATGTTTGCTTAGCCTCCTGCTTTGACTTAACCAACAATAGCGTGCTTCCTTACTCCCTTACTGGCAAAGTGTAATGGGCTGCATTTGTATAGATGTCCTGCAACTTGGGAAGGTATGGTACAGAATGTATCGTGCCCCCTCCCACGGGATTTTTTTTCCCACACGTCATCGATTCCCCGTGTTATGGAGGCTCTTTCTTCGTTTGATTGAACAAGAAATTGTACGAAATGTCAACACAGTTTCGTCATCTTACTTCTGGAATGACGTAAATGTAACTGGTTTCCTTAAATCAGTACGTATTACTTATGCAGGTGTATTGTGCTTCTACATTCGTCAGCCTTCGTTCTTCACGAAAATAGCTAACAATCTTGGCTGCATTCCTTTCATTAATTTCAGCGAAATGAATGTTTCAGCGTACTTTAGGACATTGAACTTGTACCATTGTTCTTCGATACCCTACCATTTAAATGTATTAATCGATACCATAAATTTTAATGAATATTATTTCAACGGCAGTGTTTTGTAGGGTCACCCTAACACCCTAACAGATCCCAGTTGAAAGTAAAGAATACTGTTTCAAATGCAATATGTTGGGTAATCCGCAACACCCCACCAGCTAAAAGTTCAACACCAATGTGAAGGAGGGCACTCATCAACACTCTTACAAGTTAATGGACAAAATTCGAAGTAAAAAATACTGTTTCGACGGCAATGTGTTGTAGGGCAATCCACAACACCCAATCAGTTAATGGACTATATAAAAGACAAAGTGACGAAGAGAAATCCACAACACTCTACCAATTGATGGAAAACATTCAAAGTAAAGAATACTGTTCCAAAGCAGTGTGTTGTAGCGTGATTGCGAACAACCCACAAGTTCATGGACAAATCTCAAAGTAAAAATACTGTTTCAACGGCAATGATTTGTAGGGCAACCCGTGACAGTTATTGACAACATTTAAACTGTTATATTCACTTTCATGTGGACAATTACCAGAGGTGTTCACAGGGAAAAGGTTATACCACTAGCTTGTCAATTTACATGTCCATAATTAATCAAGCTACCCTGCGGAATATATTGATAAATCGGAATTAAGATGTATACCATTTCCCAAAAGTCATGCCATGATTATGCTTATTTTCAAAAGTTTGCTATATTACTCAAAACACACTTTACGGCACAGTTTAATGGAAAATTAGTCCATTCCAGATATCCGACAGAAACTAAGGCCGGATGGACGAAATAGAGCAGACTGAAGCAGGAGGTCACCTCCTGTGGTACTTCTGGGGCTCTGATAACTGTAGCACATTATTATCAATACAGTTGCGATTGAGGACAATAGTTGGTAAAACAAAAAACAAGTGACTACAATTAGTTACATTCTCCTTTTTAATGCAATATTATTAACATTATCACAATCTGTCAATAAGTCAACTACACAATTGTAGTATCAAAAATAGTTTTCATTATCAGGAAAGCAGATACATGTGTGCTTTCCTGGAAATGATGGATTATAAATATTCCCCTTTCCACAATAAAATTTTACTATGTAAACTTCTGGTGACACACTTCCTAGAAATCAACTAGAACCAAGCCCTAGTTTCATTAACATAAACTTAAGATTTTCCATAGAAAAGCCTCTCGGGTTAATGAAAATTTCTTCCATCTATATTTTTTGGCTAACACTAATTACGCCTATCTATGGGAAACAAATCATGAATCTCCTTAACCTAAAGTACATTCATGAGACTGGAATATGAATTTATATTTTGTGTAATATAGTACTGTCAATGACTACCATCTACAAAATGTGGATAATATCTAAATTAGCCAACATATATCCCAAAAAATAATCACTTCACCAACCCACGGCAAACTGTCAAAATGTAACATGTTATTGTAAATGATATCCTCTCTAATAAAACAGCAGTGCTACTGGTATCTTTCTGAGAAATGTCGCAGCAACTGAATGCTATTACGATATTATGTCACAACATAAATTTAAACAGTTTTAACTTTAGTCTTACACATCATTATAGATATAAGTACTGTATACTCACACAATACCTTGTCTTATTGTATGTATGACTTAAGACCACCGTAAGGTCAAGACAAACACTCACTATCACATCTCAATGAACTTATAGGTACATTTCAGTCCAGGCATAAAATACACACACTACCACATCATCTTCCTGAATGTATCAATTAAGATCACAGTAAGGTCAAGACTAACACTCACTAACACATCTCACTGAACGTATTGGTACATTTCGGTCCAGACATATAAACACCCTTGGCCTACCACATCTTACTGAATGTATCAACTATGACCAGTCAGGTCCAGACATAAAATACACACACTGTCACATCTTACTGAATGTATGAGTTAAGACTATCAGGTCCAGACACATCTACACATTATCACATCTGCCTCAATCTACAGAATGTGCTCAACTAATCAACATTCATATCCAAAATCTTAAATTGATGACATATGTCGGCCACATACTCTCACACATTCACGCCAGACATCTTAAATTTGAAGTCCTCAACTGTCACATAGAAAATCCATCTTCAATTCAACATTGGTTTGTACCTAGTGTTGAATCAGAACTGACTCTATTTACATGGCTATGTTATGAACAATCACAAAATGTCTACATCAATATAAAGGTCCTGTTTACACAAGTATACACACCACCTCCATTAAAAGGGACTGAAAAGGGAAGTAACTAGGTATGTCATCAGTCAATGTCACACTCAACAGCCAATATAATATACACTATCAATACATTTCTTGATATCACGCTCAACAACCAATGTACACGTGGTCTCCTTACACACATGGTCTCTCTTTCTATAACTATACAGCTGGGCACTTGTGCGGGCTGCATCGGTTCATTTCATTGATATCCCACTTAACACATTATGAGTCTTATTTCCTACTTTTAAATGCATAAATATTCAATTCAACCTTTGACATATAATGCTTGTGATTAAGTCATTATTAGATGAACTATAAGATGAAGAATGAAGCAGTTCAATATGCATGAAGCTGTTTTAAAGCACATCTAGTAAGTCTATGAACTTTTAAAAGAGTAACTCAAACAGTATATAATATGCCCATCAACATCTTTGATTTAAACTGATGGTTCACATACCCCTTAAATCTTAATATGGAATGTTCTCATGAGTGTGTTAAGATTCTGTAAAAGTGAAATTGACCTTAAATGTATATCCTTGACCTTCAACTCGTCTCACGAAATTTGTGTCAGGAATACTTGGCTGCCATGAAAGTTAGATGAAAACCATAGTCAGGAACTAGTAGATGAGCAAAATGTAAAATTTTCCCATTATAATGTAAGGATTCTGTAGCTGTGATCATGATCTTGAACATATGACCTTGACTTTCAAGGGAGCTCTAACAGAGATTGATGCAAGGAATACTTCTGTTAAGTTACATGAGATTTGGATGGACACTTTAAGAGTCGGCAAGCTGCGAACAAGGCAAATGTTAGCCGAGGGACAAACTGATGAAACCAATATATGCTCTACCAAAGGCATGTGGATAAAAGCATTCCATACCAGCACTGCTATCACACTAAACACACCAGAGCAGTCGTTACTCAATTAGAAAGATGTGTACTTAAATTATGAGACATTACGAGAAGTGAGGACAACTTTTTCGGAGCACAATAAAGTAAAACCTTACTTTCTGAAAGATTGTGTATTACTATAACTTAAAATGCTATTTACAATTGAAATTCAATCATGTTATGCACATGGACTAAATTTGAGACATAAATGTATTTTAATACATTTCATCTACTTTTATAGGTAGTTTATTTCATTCTGCTTTCAAATATTTATATATATATGTTCAAGCATGACATATAGGTATGCTTGACTAAAAGTCTCTAGAGATGCTCATTTCATAAGATAAAGACGTTTGATAAGCTATATATTTAGTCCTTTTAAAAAAAATGTTGATTTTTTTTTTAAAGCAGCTTATTAAGCAATATCATTGTATACGAAAGTATATTGTACTCCTGTATATGTAGTAGCCACCCTTAAGCCATCTCGTGAGTAGCCCTTCCCTTTCTAGCCTAATAAGCCTTTGTTTACTCCTGATTATCAAATCAGAAACAACAATTATCCGAAATGATCATCAAGGGGAATGTACAAAGAGTTATCACCTACGACTGATTTTATTACTATATGTATCATTGGATTCAATGAAGAAAAAACGAAGAATAACAAATTTATTTTATACAATGAACCTTTTTCTCAGGTAACCTCTACTGTATATACAGAAGACCCTCCCCTCAGCAAACCCAGCATTAGGCAGTCTGATCTCCGGCTGTATCTGTATCATATCAGATACAACAATATTCAAAATGACAATCAAGAAAAATTATTAAATTAAAAAGAAAAGGTACCCTTTACCACCATAACAGTAAACAAACAGCCACAGTACAGTGGGAGACAAACACAAAGGAGAATATATCAAAAATTTAAATCGACAAGGACTTCACAGCCATATCAGAAAATGTTTGGAATGCACTCTATATTGAAAAAATGCCCTGTAATTAGAAATTAATTCATTAACAATTATGTCACATGAAAAACAACCTCAGACTGTTATATTTGAACTTGATTTCCTGAATAATATGTCCGAAATATTAGCAACAGCATTATTTTTGGGAGAAAAGTCTGCTTCAGTCATGATGAATATTATGGGAGGTTAGACTATTTTAGTAATGATCACAAGAAAGGGGAGATAAGTCTAATTAGGTAATCATCATATTTCAGTGACATCATGGGGTTACATATTGCATTTCTTTAATTTATTTCCATATTAAACAGGATCAAGGGATGGAATCACCTTTGAGGTATTTAACATGTGCCCTGAGCCTCTGTATTGTATCTCCAATACAAAAGAACTCCACTTTTTTTGTATTTTTTCTGACTTGGGAGTTCAATGCCAATTTACTACAGAAAAGTTTTACATAGGAATGAAAAATATTTTCCATAGTTTTCCGTTATCACAAAAACATCTCTGCTACAAAATTTGATCCCTCAAACCTTTTGATTGCTTATTGACCACGTCAGTGGTTGCGATATTTATTATGCTTCCATTTTTATGCAATATCACTGGGGAATAACAACACAATGTTCAAACTCCCACAAATGGCCCCAATTAACATTCATGATGTGTACCTGCAGGAAAAAGATCTATTTTGTATATTGTTTCTTACTTTCAATGATCAAATATTAAAGGGTTAGTGTTGTAGCAGACTGTTAAGAGAATAAATACCATTACCCCAGATGGTATTTTCATATTTTGAGAAGATTAAATCTTGTTTATTGAAAAAGACTATTCCCATTGAAATTAACATGAGGTCCAATCTGTTTGTCTCTGCAATATGTTTAAACCAAACTAAATACAAAAGTACCGATAAATCTTATCCCACACCTAGAGAATTTGAACAGTCAGTGAAGAAATATCAGACAAAACTGTATGTACAGTATCAATATAGATAAAGGATGAAAATATCAACAAGATCAGAAACACTACAGGCACGATTATGCTACAAGTAGAGAAAGGGTCAAAAAATAACAACTGTCAGATCCTGTTATTGTTTGTAAATGTTCCTGAACTAATTTAGAATGAGTATTTTTGTCAGAGCCTCAAGTTCAAAAAAGAAAAGAATAAATTTAATTTGACTTCACACTTCAGTCACCTATAGGAGATCAACAACATGCTACATATATATGTCTTCTCCATTTCAGGTAAAACGTCATGCAAAACAATCCATTTTATCTTTTAGTAAGGAGTTTTTAGAAACAAATATTCCAAAGACCTCTGTTAATGTATATCTAAGTTAAATGACACTTTAATACAAACACTGATGATTGACATGTTTGACATCCTAGAATAAATAAATAAGATAAACATATCTATGTCAGATGAAAATGGTTATTTCCTTTAAATTCATATCAAATAGATTCATGTGTCTATTGTATCTAAAACAATGACTTTTTTCTCTTTTAAAACAAAAAAATATATATTTACATAACAAAAAAATAATAACCGTCTGAATCAATAAAATTACATCACACCTCACACACGTACACCTCTTACACCTCACTCACACTGTATTGCCATGCTTCTGTTATACACAGAACAGCTGTTATATTTTACAAGGCAAAACAGTTGTGCGGTTCCAATTCTCTGCCCAGTTACTCCAACTTTATCATAAAATTACAATAAACATAAAGTATTATTTAGTTATCCTGTCTTTTCTGCGATTAAACCCATACCAAATCCTAACTGAATTCCTCTTAAAACCTTTTTGGGCAAATCATGTTTGAATCAATTTCTAAACTTAAAAAAGAGAGTTAAATAAACAAAAAACCTGCACTAAAATCAATAATCATTTTTAATTTCATTCAAATTGTGCTTTAAAATCACTCATTTTATAATAATTTGAACTCAGATTGGTTTAACATCACTTGTAATATTAGCCTTAAAACCACATTAAACTGGAACCACACAATATTAGCCTTAAGTTTCAAACTGGCACCACACAGTTAAATTCTCAGGTCTAGGAGTTAAGGTTTTAATGTTTATGACCAAAGGATAACAAGACTGGTATCACTGATCCAGACACTATGGCTACTAGGTCAATCGGCCGGAATCCCTTCTGTTCATGAATGACCACCGTTTTGTCAGCGTTGACCTGTTTCGTATGACTGGTGGTCACCTCTGGTAGGACGTGTACTGTTGCCACATACAAAAATGTTCCAGCACTAAATAACATGGCAATTCCTGTGGTTTGAAAATTGTGAAGTTTTCCTAAACTTTCCTGCAAATAACAACAAAATACAACATTAAGGAGTGAAAAGGATTTTAGCATTCAACATAAGCACATATATCTACCCAAGATTTTTGTCTGCTGTAAAGAGCAGTGCCACTTTCCAAAAATTTAAGCGAACTGGTACAATAATGTAGATGATTATCACTTTTACAAGTGGCAGTAACCTAATGGCAATCAAAATTGTTAATAATATTCTAGATCTCTTAATGTGCCTAGTTTAAGTGAAGGCAAAGAAGATAACATAAAGACTAGTCTAGATGCCTTATCTGGGTGACAGCTTGGCCCATAAAGGTGAGGATATTTAGACTACTGTAGATTCAGGCCTACTCACTGACACAGAGAAGGATTGAATAGCATTTTTTTTTCAATTTCATGCTGGTATAAATGCGAATCAGTTACATACATGAAAGGCTTCATGGTAAATATGTATGTAACTAGTTTGTGTTCATACCAGCATGAACATTGAAAAAATCCTATTCAATCCTTATATTTACATTCTACCTGTTTAGTTATGACCTAAACAAAGATATTCCTATATTTTTTTATATTGAAATGTCTGTGTCGTCATTGCAAACGAGATTCCTTGAACAGCCTAACGTCGCCAAAATGTTTGCTTCTAACGATTGTTTCATATTAATCGTGGCGGAAGAATCAACTTCAAAATGACGCTGATCGAATTGCATTCATAGCCCTATGAAGGCAATTCCTTATGGTAATGATTATAGAGGAACTTGCAGTGGAAATATAAATATAGGCCCATGAAAGTAAGGATGTTTAAATCATTGTAGGTTTCCTATCTGGTTGACCTTTGGGCCCAAAGAAGGTAGTGATTATTTTTATTTCTTACCTGACTGAGAGCCAACCCTACATAGGTAAGAATACAGGCAATTGGAGCTGATGCAGAAAATATTAATAAATGCCGTCGTATCCTAGGTTTGTCAAAACCATCATGCAATAGGAAGGTTACCAAACCAAAAGCAGCAGGAGCCTGAAAAACATAAGAGGTTTTGTATGTGACATGTAGCCAATAGTTTACTGAAACTGTCACTGAAACAGCTGGAAAGGACACAGGCAGTGTTTTAGACATTTTACATGCACATGTATATCATAAACAGTTAAAATGGGTCATTACATAAAACAGTCAGTAATAAGTAACACATTGTAATAAGTAACACATTATAATTAGTAACACATTGTAATCATTAAAACATTACTCACTAAAACATTATAATCACTAAACATTATAATCAGTAACTCAATATCTGTTTATCATGATCATCAGCTTCACGTTGTCATCTGTAACACATCATAAATCTGTTATGCAATAATCTATTGTACTGTACAATCCTTCATGATCATTTTATTATATATATATATGCATTTCAGTCCATTAAACTACCATTAAACACTCACCTTATGTAACATGATGGCTATAAATACAATCAGTGTCAGGTGAGACCTCTGCATCATTATAGCTGCCCCCATAGCAACACCATCAGCTAAAAGTGCAACAACGCTGTTTACATAACTAGGGATAAATCAAGAATACAGAATTTGTGATAAAAAAAAATTGTGAATTCAATTTCTCCAGTTTATATCAGTTTTAAAATTGAGTAATAGATATACCCTCCACCCTGTTGTGCCCGTGACCTTCAGACCTTTAACCTTGACTGATGACCACTGAATATTACAATACAGTGTAATATGGTGTGAATATGAGCTAAATGTTTCGGGTGTTCCCAAGATCATTTGTACACAAGCCTTTAACTACAGATGGCTGCACTGACAAAGTGATTGCTATATATACCCCGTTCCTAGGTGTGTGGGTGTGGGTGTGGGTGTGGGTGGTGTGGGTGTGGGTGTGGGTGATGGGGGGGATGGGTGGGTGGGTGTTTAATGACTATAATAACTCAAATTGATGATCAACAGTAGATCATAAAACATCTAAGAAATAAATATTTACAATATATAATAGATCATATATAAATGATAGCATTTCAACAAGTTATGCAAGAGTTGCGTTAAATGATTGATTTCTTACATAATATTTGATTTCATATCCTACATCAACAACCCTGTATATCCTTTCAGTATCTAATCTCACAGTACAGTAACATAAGTCCCACTCAAATCAAACTCAAATACCATGGACAGATTTGCTTTATCTTTTACCTTTATCAGTATGTAACAGAGATTACATCAACATCTGACAAAGACCTCTTTAGCATTACATGTTTTAACAGATCTTGTTCTATCGACCTCACTATCTGGCTGACTAAATATAATGTCATGATAGAATTGATTTACAATCATGAACAGGTCACATCTGGTGTTTAATATAAATCTTAAAGATGAGGACATGGTCTAAAACCATTGGAAATTCATTGGACTTCAGGCTACAATCTACATATTATCGTTATGAAGCCCCGGGTTTGGAGTAAAGCATCTGGTTTAACAGATTTACAAACGGGGCCATCATTTGAAAACAAAACTTTGCACAGGCCAGGTAAAATTCAGTAAAAGGGCTAGTACAAAAACCCATTTAATACTTTTATTTAATAAAGTAGGTCATGAGCTTCTCTTGGGGAAATAAAATGAAGACAGGAGTTCAGAATCAAGTATTCAATTTGTAATTAGCTAGGTATTGTGTTAAATCACATCATTATGGTGGCGGTCATCACATGTAATTAATGCAAGTAATTTTAGCAAGGGAGGGTTATCATACTGGTACAACATATATCAAGTATAAAAATGAGAGAAATCTGAGTTGTAACAACAGGATTATATTAGAAACAAGGGTGTATAACCACCAGACCAAGGATTGATAAGGGTTATGAGCTTAACAGAGAGACTACCACCAGAGCCAAAGTGGACAAGGGTATCTAACAGAGGGAATACCTACACCAGGTACCATTAGAGCTTGTGTGGACAAGGGTATCTAACAGAGGGGATACCTACACTAGGTACCACTAGAGCTTGTGTGGACAAGGGTATCTAACAGAGGGGATACCTACACCAGGTACCACTAGAGCTTGTGTGGACAAGGGTATCTAACAGAGGGGATACCTACACCAGGTACCACTAGAGCTTGTGTGGACAAGGGTATCTAACAGAGGGGATACCTACACCAGGTACCACTAGAGCTTGTGTGGACAAGGGTATCTAACAGAGGGGATACCTACACCAGGTACCACTAGAGCTTGTGTGGACAAGGGTATCTAACAGAGGGGATACCTACACCAGGTACCACTAGAGCTTGTGTGGACAAGGGTATCTAACAGAGGGGATACCTACACCAGGTACCACTAGAGCTTGTGTGGACAAGGGTATCTAACAGAGGGGATACCTACACCAGGTACCACTAGAGCTTGTGTGGACAAGGGTATCTAACAGAGGGGATACCTACACCAGGTACCACTAGAGCTTGTGTGGACAAGGGTATCTAACAGAGGGGATACCTACACCAGGTACCACTAGAGCTTGTGTGGACAAGGGTATCTAACAGAGGGGATACCTACACCAGGTACCACTAGAGCTTGTGTGGACAAGGGTATCTAACAGAGGGGATACCTACACCAGGTACCACTAGAGCTTGTGTGGACAAGGGTATCTAACAGAGGGGATACCTACACCAGGTACCACTAGAGCTTGTGTGGACAAGGGTATCTAACAGAGGGGATACCTACACCAGGTACCACTAGAGCTTGTGTGGACAAGGGTATCTAACAGAGGGGATACCTACACCAGGTACCACTAGAGCTTGTGTGGACAAGGGTATCTAACAGAGGGGATACCTACACCAGGTACCACTAGAGCTTGTGTGGACAAGGGTATCTAACAGAGGGGATACCTACACCAGGTACCACTAGAGCTTGTGTGGACAAGGGTATCTAACAGAGGGGATACCTACACCAGGTACCACTAGAGCTTGTGTGGACAAGGGTATCTAACAGAGGGGATACCTACACCAGGTACCACTAGAGCTTGTGTGGACAAGGGTATCTAACAGAGGGGATACCTACACCAGGTACCACTAGAGCTTGTGTGGACAAGGGTATCTAACAGAGGGGATACCTACACCAGGTACCACTAGAGCTTGTGTGGACAAGGGTATCTAACAGAGGGGATACCTACACCAGGTACCACTAGAGCTTGTGTGGACAAGGGTATCTAACAGAGGGGATACCTACACCAGGTACCACTAGAGCTTGCGTGGAAAAGGGTATCTAACAGAGGGGATACCTACACCAGGTACCATTAGAGCTTGTGTGGACAAGGATATCCAACAGAGAGGATACCTACACCAGGTACCACTAGAGCTTGTGTGGACAAGGGTATCTAACAGAGGGGATACCTACACCAGGTACCACTAGAGCTTGTGTGGACAAGAGTATCTAACAGAGGGGGTACCTACACCAGATACCACTAGAGCTTGTGTGGGCAAGGACATGTGACATAGAGCTAACCTGCAGCATGTACCACTCGACAAAGTGTGGGTGCAGGTATGTGATATAAGCCTAGGGTTTATTATAACATGCAGTGTACATATACCACTTGACCAAGTGTGGGCATGGGTATGTGATATAGGCCTAGGGTTTATTATAACATGCAGTGTTCATATACCACTTGACCAAGTGTGGGCGAGGGTATGTGATATAGTGGGATACCAGCACCAGATACCACTAGAGCGTGTGTGGACAAGGGTATCTAACAGAGGTGATACCTACACCAGGTACCGCTAGAGCTGGTGTGGACAAGGGTATCTAACAGAGGGAATACCTACACCAGGTACCAGTAGAGCTTGTGTGGACATGGGTATCTAACAGAGGGAATACCTACACCAGGTACCGCTAGAGCTGGTGTGGACAAGGGTATCTAACAGAGGCGATACCTACACCAGGTACCGCTAGAGCTGGTGTGGACAAGGGTATCTAACAAGAGGGGATACCTACACAAGATACCCCTAGAGCTTGTGTGGACAAGAGTATCTAACAGAGCGGGTACCTACACCAGATACCACTAGAACTTGCGTGGAAAAGGGTATCTAACAGAGGGGCTACCGACACGAGGTACCACTAGAGCTTGCGTGGACAAGGGTATCTAACAGAGGGAATACCTACACCAGGTACCAGTAGAGCTTGTGTGGACATGGGTATCTAACAGAGGGGCTACCGACACGAGGTACCACTAGAGCTTGTGTCGACAAGGGTATCTAACAAGAGGGGATACCTACACCAGGAACCACTAGAGCTTGTGTCGACAAGGGTATCTAACAGAGGCGATACCTACACCAGGTACCGCTAGAGCTGGTGTGGACAAGGGTATCTAACAAAGGGGATACCTACACCAGCTACCACTAGAGCTTGTGTCGACAAGGGTATCTAACAGAGGTGATACCTACACCAGGTACCACAAGAGCTTGTGTGGACAAGAGTATCTAACAGAGGGGGTACCTACACCAGGTACCGCTAGAGCTGGTGTGGACAAGGGTATCTAACAGAGGGAATACCTACACCAGGTACCACTAGAGCTTGTGTCGACAAGGGTATCTAACAGAGGGAATACCTACACCAGGTACCAGTAGAGCTTGTGTGGACAAGGTTATCTAACAGAGGGGATACCTACACCAGATTCCACTAGAGCGTGTGTGGACAAGGGTATCTAACAGAGGCGATACCTACACCAGGTACCGCTAGAGCTGGTGTGGACAAGGGTATCTAACAGAGGTGATACCTACACCAGATACCACAAGAGCTTGTGTGGACAAGAGTATCTAACAGAGCGGGTACCTACACCAGATACCACAAGAGCTTGTGTGGACAAGAGTATCTAACAGAGCGGGTACCTACACCAGATACCACTAGAACTTGCGTGGAAAAGGGTATCTAACAGAGGCGATACCTACACCAGGTACCGCTAGAGCTGGTGTGGACAAGGGTATCTAACAGAGGGGCTACCGACACGAGGTACCACTAGAGCTTGCGTGGAAAAGGGTATCTAACAGAGGTGATACCTACACCAGATACAACTAGAGCTTGTGTGGACAAGGATATCCAGCAGAAAGAATACCTACACCAGGTACCGCTAGAGCTGGTGTGGACAAGGGTATCTAACAGAGGTGATACCTACACCAGATACCACAAGAGCTTGTGTGGACAAGAGTATCTAACAGAGGGGGTACCTACACCAGGTACCAGTAGAGCTTGTGTGGACATGGGTATCTAACAGAGGGGCTACCGACACGAGGTACCACTAGAGCTTGTGTGGGCAAGGACATGTGACATAGAGCTAACCTGCAGCATGTACCACTCGACAAAGCGTGGGTGCAGGTATGTGATATAAGCCTAGGGTGTATTATAACATGCAGTGGACATATACCACTTGACCAACTGTGGGCGAGGGTATGTGATATGGGCCTAGGGTTTATTATAACATGCAGTGTACATATACCACTTAACCAAAGTGTGGGCGCGGGTATGTGATATAGGCCTAGGGTTTATTATAACATGCAGTGTATATATACCACTTGACCAAGTGTGGGCGAGGGTATGTGATATAGGGTTACAATTACATGCAGTATGTATACGTACCATGCAACTAGTCAGTGTGGATGAGGGTATGTGACAGAGGGTTGACCTTCAACATGTGCCATCAGAGCTAGTGTACATGTGGGTAAGGGCATTTGGTGTAAGGCTTATCACAAGGAGTATGGAACACTTGACTGAATGTGGAGGAGGGTATAAACAGGGGGTTTATAAGATCTTGGACAGTGAAGGTACATGCAGCAGGTAGCGTATACGTAATTACCAACAGACCGAGAGTAGTTAGGGCATTTACAGGGACTTACAATGAGACTCTCGGATGCTGAAGGTAACTAACTTGTGAACAAGATCCAGTGTTGACAAGGGTACATAGTAGGGGGCTTGTCATGATAGCTTTAAAGCTAGAGTCAAAGTTGAAGAGGGCTTAAAATTACCTGCTGCATGTACCACCAGACCCAGTGTGGCAGTTATCTTGTGACGGTTCTGCTGAATTGTGGACCCAGCTCCATTAGCCTCAGCATCTACAAATATAGAAGTTGCACCTCTAGAGAACAGGTATGAAAATTTTCAAAGGAAAAAGAAATTTTCAAAATGAACAAGGCTGTAAAATATTCTGAATAAGGTAACCTAAAACAAGGTATGTAGTCAACGTAGATATAACTATGATTTCAATGCAAGGTGACATATTTTGGCAAAAAAAAAAATTAAGGTGAATACAGCACTAAAGATACAATGAATATAGATGATATAGATAAGTTTATCCCTGTCACTTCATACACTATAAAGGCTATGATAAATTAATGGCTAATAAACTAGTGTCCTGTTCATAACAATCAAAACAAAACGCATGTGCACCACTTATTCCAAGTTAAATCAACATGTACATTAATGAGAGAAATAAGTAGAAAAGTATGGTTTACATCATGGTAGATCACACTGATTCCAGATCTGTATGCAAAAAGACAACGCTCAACCAGCTGAGAAGCAATTCACATCAAAGTTTTGCTTCATATACAAACAATGTGAGTATTAAATGTGCCGTAACTTTTCAAGACCGACTGGTCCCTATGTCGCTTGACAAAGGGAACAGTCGGTCTTGAAACGTTGCGACACGTTTAATATGCACATTGTTTGTGTATATATCGAGTGAAACATTGATATTACATATTTCCTAACATCTTGTTCAAAATATCAGAGAAGCAATTGTTTTCGATTGGATTGTGGACAATAATTATCTCAATTTGGACTGATGTAAACTACTAGATGTGAACAATAAGAATCGAAGCTGTGCTGTGATGTTCTATCATTGTACATGACTCAAGTTAAACTAGAATTTCGTTTTTGTGAACTAAACATGTCTTACTTTGTAATTATTAGCCAATACTGGCAATAGATAAACTTCGGTATAAAAAATTAACAAAGGGCCATATCTCTTTATATAGTTGGGCATGATACCCAAATTTAGAATACCACACTCCTACTTCCCAAGATACATTAAAACTATAGCAAATTTAGTCAACGTAGGTGAAATAACATGGAAGTTATGCCGTGGACAAACTTTGGTATTAAAATAAACAAAGGGCCGTAACTCTGTATACAGTGGGGCATAAAACCTGATTTTAGTGCGAGAGATTCTGTATTCCCAAAATACATAAATATGGTAAGTTTGGTCAACGTAGGTGAATTAAATAACATTGAACATATGCTCCGGACAAACTCCAATATTAAAATTAAACAAAGGGTCATAACTCTGTATATAGTGGGTCACGAGACCTAGTTCCAGTGCACTGCACACCTTCTGTGTACTTCAAGTTTGATTAAGATATCTTTAATGGTTTAGAAGTTATGCCGTGGACAAACTTCGGTATTAAAATAAACAAAGAGCATTAACTCTGTATATAGTGGGGAACAAAACCTGATTTTAGTGCGAGAGATTCCAGCTTCCCAAGATACATAAATATGGTAAGATAAGTCAACATAGGTGAAATAACATGGAACTTATGCTCCGGACAAACTTCGGTATTAAAATAAACAAAGGGACATAACTCTGTATACAGTGGGGCATAAAACCTGATTTCAGTGCGAGAGATTCCAGCTTCCCAAGATACATAAATATGGTAAGTTTGGTCAACGTAGGTGAAATAACATTGAACATATGCTCCGGACAAACTTCAATATTAAAATTAAACAAAGGGTCATAACTCTGTATATAGTGGGGCACGAGACCTAGTTCCAGTGCACTGCACACCTTCGGTGTACTTCAAGTTTGATTAAGATATCTTTAATGGTTTAGAAGTTATGCCGTGGACAAACTTCGGTATTAAAATAAACAAAGAGCATTAACTCTGTATATAGTGGGGAACAAAACCTGATTTTAGTGCGAGAGATTCCAGCTTCCCAAGATACATAAATATGGTAAGATAAGTCAACATAGGTGAAATAACATGGAACTTATGCTCCGGACAAACTTCGGTATTAGAAGCATGAGACCTAGTTCCAGTGCACTGCACACCTTCTGTGGGTGATGCAGGTATACTTCAAGTTTGATCAAGATAACGGCTTAAAAGTTATATTATGGCCCAGACAAGTGGCGATTAGAAGAACCAGAACAAGAAGAAGAAGAAGAAAAAGAAGAACCAAAAGAAGAACCAGTACTAATACAATATGTATCCCTTCATTCGAAGGGGAGACATAATAAGATCATTCTGAAGCATGGATTCTATATCTATATTTAACCTATTGATTGAGCAACACTCAAGGTCAAATTCAGTAAAGATACAAGTAACCTACAAATGTCCATGTCTTATCAACACAAGGACATGTAGGTCATAATCTCCAGTACAAATGAGGATATCTCAAATCTGAGAAGTTAAAACAATATACAAAGAAAACGAAATTAGTAAATAAATAAAATCTCTAAAAATATGTCAAAAACACCAATTAAAAAACAAACATACCCATATTGTATTAAAGCCGTTTGATGTGCATTAAATTCTTATGGTTCATGTGTATTGTTTAATTTTTGAAAACGAAAATATAAAACTAGAAATATGTCAAATGAAAAAAAAATCTACCACCAAGCAGTTCATTATACCCTGGCCGTCACACAGTGAATAAGCAGTTGTTGGTATTATTATGAAATATTTGTGAGTATTTGATGTGACCAGAAATATGATTTGACGTACCTGGTAGATCAATCGGTGCAATAAAACATCACAGAATGCAGGTAGTATTGCATTAATGAAACCAAGGGTAATAAATCTATTAACTATGTTCAGATAATTGTGATTATACACGCATTCTACTAAATCAGGGGGTATTACTCCGTTAATTATAGACATTGTAATACAATGTTGCTTGTTTGCTTTCCAACTTGTTCAAGCTCTAATAGGAATTTAACCTTCCTATGAAGTTTGAAACTAACCTGTTGAAAAATAATTACAAGAGATATCAAGCAGACACTGTGCATGCCCGCCCGCTCATGTTCTCTCATAGCATGTCCGGTCTTACGACGAGCATATAAAAAGGGCCATAACTCCGTATATAAATGGGCACGAGCAGCAGGCCAAACTTCAGTACATGACACTGTTATCAGAAGTACAACAAGAAACATTTGCTAAGCAGAAGCTAAAGCAATGTTTAGGACTTTGGAATATGGGTTTAAGGTCCGGTGTTACACATGTTCCACAGACAGATGGACCAATAGACAGATTCCGTACGTGATTACCACAGGGCACCTGCATCTGTAATGTGGGACTATGCGCTCTTATTATATTAACTCATGTGCACCTTATTAGCAATTACATATATACAGCCTTTTCATCAAGCATTACACATATATAGTGAACAATTGACTACTTGTACAATATAGGTACTTTATGATGTGTATACAAGTTTACCACAAGAGGAAGATAAACTAAGGTATTTGTTGTCTTAATTATATAAGAATAACAAGCGAAAAAACTGTTATATTCAGAAGTAGCACATCAAATACATTAGTTTTGTCAGGTTCAGTTGAAACACATGACACGCAAAAAAAATGATGAATAATTTACTGTACAAGATAGTAGAAGGAATCAAAATATATCAATATACTTATTCCTTACCTTCATCTGGGAAAACAAACATACACAAAATATGTTAAATTAAAAAACACAATCTACAATATACTTCACATATTTTTATGAATATTAAATAAGTACACACTGCCCTGGCTGAATATGCAGTGTAATATGTTACCCGACAAAGATGTGTGTGAGCTAGATCTGATCACTATATAACATGAGTACACTACCTAAGTGTGTCGTACACTACCTCAGTGTGTCGTACACTACCTCAGTTTGTCGTACACTACCTCAGTGTGTGGTACACTAGCTAGCTACCTCATTGTGTCGTAAACTACCTCAGTGGGTCGTACACTAGCTACCTCAGCGTGTCGTACACTCCCTCAGTGTGTCGTGCACTACCTCAGTGTGTCGTACTCTACCTCAGTGTGTCGTACACACTGAGGTAGTGTACGAAACACTGAGGTAGCTAGTGTACGGTAGACTGAGGTAGCTAGTGTACGGTAGACTGAGGTAGCTAGTGTACGATACACTGAGGTAGTGTACGACAAACTGAGGTAGTGTACGCCACACTGAGGTAACTAGTGTATAAACACTGAGGTAGCTAGTGTACGGTACACTGAGGTAGTGTACGACACTAGCTACCTCAGTGTGTCGTACACTAGCTACCTCAGTGTGTATACACTAGTTACCTCAGTGTGTCGTACACTACCTCAGTGTGTCGTACACTACCTCAGTGTATCGTACACTAGCTACCTCAGTGTATCGTACACTAGCTACCTCAGTATGTGATACACTAGCTAGCTAACTCAGTGTGTCGTACACTAGCTACCTCAGTGTGTCGTAAACTACCTCAGTGTTTTGTACACTACCTACCTCAGTGTGTCGTAAACTACCTCAGTGTTTTGTACACTACCTACCTCAGTGTGTCGTAAACTACCTCAGTGTGTTGTACACTACCTACCTCAGTGTGTCGTACAGTAGCTACCTCAGTGTTTCGTACACTAGCTACCTCAGTGTGTCGTACACTAGCTAGCTAACTCAGTGTGTCGTACACTAGCTACCTCAGTGTGTATACACTAGTTACCTCAGTGTGTCGTACACTACCTCAGTGTATCGTACACTAGCTACCTCAGGGTATCGTACACTAGATAACTCAGTGTGTCGTACACTAGCTAGCTACCTCAGCGTGTCGTACACTACCTCAGTGTGTCGTAAACTACCTCAGTGTTTTGTACACTACCTACCTCAGTGTGTCGTAAACTACCTCAGTGTGTCATACACTACCTCAGTGTATCGTACACTAGCTACCTCAGTATGTGGTACACTAGCTAGCTAACTCAGTGTGTCGTACACTAGCTACCTCAGTGTGTATACACTAGTTACCTCAGTGTGTCGTACACTACCTCAGTGTATCGTACACTAGCTACCTCAGGGTATCGTACACTAGATAACTCAGTGTGTCGTACACTAGCTAGCTACCTCAGTTTGTCGTACACTAGCTAGCTACCTCAGTGTGTCGTAAACTTCCTCAGTGTGTCGTACACTACCTCAGTGTGTCGGACACTACCTCAGTGTGTCGTACACTAGCTAGCTACCTCAGTGTGTCGTAAACTTCCTCAGTGTGTCGTACACTACCTCAGTGTGTTGTACACTACCTACCTCAGTGTGTCGTAAACTACCTCAGTGTTTTGTACACTACCTACCTCAGTGTGTCGTAAACTACCTCAGTGTGTTGTACACTTCCTACCTCAGTGTGTCGTAAACTACCTCAGTGTTTTGTACACTACCTACCTCAGTGTGTCGTAAACTACCTCAGTGTGTTGTACACTTCCTACCTCAGTGTGTCGTAAACTACCTCAGTGTGTCATACACTACCTCAGTGTATCGTACACTAGCTACCTCAGGGTATCGTACACTAGATAACTCAGTGTGTCGTACACTAGCTAGCTACCTCAGTGGGTCGTACACGAGCTAGCTACCTCAGTGTGTCGTACACTACCTACCTCAGTGTGTCGTACAGTAGCTACCTCAGTGTTTCGTACACTAGCTACCTCAGTGTGTCGTACACTACCTACCTCAGTGTGTCGTACAGTAGCTACCTCAGTGTTTCGTACACTAGCTACCTCAGTGTGTCGTACACAAGTTAGCTACCTCAGTGTGTCGTACACTAGCTACATCAGTGTGTCGTAAACTACCTCAGTGTGTCGTACACTAGCTCCCTCAGTGTGTCGTAAACTACCTCAGTGTGTCGTACACTACCTACCTCAGTGTGTCGTACAGTAGCTACCTCAGTGTTTCGTACACTAGCTACCTCAGTGTGTCATACACTACCTCAGTGTGTCGTACACTACCTCAGTGTTTCGTACACTAGCTACCTCAGTGTGTCGTACACTACCTCCGTGTGTCGTACACTACCTCAGTGTATCGTACACTAGCTACCTCAGTATGTGGTACACTAGCTAGCTAACTCAGTGTGTCGTACACTAGCTACCTCAGTGTGTATACACTAGTTACCTCAGTGTGTCGTACACTACCTCAGTGTGCCCTGCACTACCTACCTCAGTGTGTCGTACACTACCTCAGTGCGTCATACACTACCTCAGTGTGTCGTACACTACCTCCGTGTGTCGTACACTACCTCAGTGTATCGTACACTAGCTACCTCAGGGTATCGTACACTAGATAACTCAGTGTGTCGTACACTAGCTAGCTACCTCAGTTTGTCGTACACTAGCTAGCTACCTCAGTGTGTCGTACGCTAGCTACCTCAGTGTGTCGTAAACTACCTCAGTGTGTTGTACACTTCCTACCTCAGTGTGTCGTAAACTACCTCAGTGTGTTGTACACTACCTACCTCAGTGTGTCATACACTACCTCAGTGTGTCGTACACTACCTCAGTGTGTCATACACTACCTCAGATCTGCTCCTTTTCTCACACCACTGTGTAAGTAATGTGCATTGTACGTACCTGTTGACGCGTGCATGTGTCCTCCCCCGATCTGGTCGACAAGCAGCATGAAGATGAAGCCTGCCACCAGCGTCACCCCTATGATGGTGTGGTTGTCGGAGACACTGTGAGTGTGGTTGTGGGCGTGGTCTTCCCCTGTATGTACACCGTCCACTTTGTTAGGCACGTCACTGTGTACGTCCTCATGAATGTGTGTTGCTTCTGTGTTAACAAGATCAAACAAACAAAATGTTGTTAACACGTACATGAAGTTTCAAGAAATTGGGAAAAATGAAGTGTGCAGAGTGACAGAGTAATAATATCACCCCCCTCGTTGCATCATTGCAAGTCGTTTAATATTCTGAAGGTTTTTAACTTATATTAAGTAACAGTGACCTTGACCTTAGACTGATGATAATTATACCCTATCTTGTTCGTCAAACCCAACAGTGTATTCAGTTTCATGAAAATCTATCAAGGAATGTGGCCACTGGATTGATCACAAAATTAAACCATTTACTATATAAAAATATTGTTTTTAATAATGGTGACCTCTATCTTTGGCCAATGTTGCCCATATTTGAAGTTGTTGATATGAGTGTGACTGTCAGATGGATAGAAAGGACAAAAACTAGTGTTAATACCCCCAGCTTCGCATAGCAGAGGTACATGTATAACGACCATCACTTGACACAAGTTGTGCATTTGTTATATACGGCAAGAGGATATATTAATTATTATGGGAAACAAATAATTACCAGCACTGGATTCACTCATGGCATGGATTCCCTCAGGGATGATGACAGCCAGGGCTGTCCCAACAAGGAGACCTGCTCCAAAGACTGTGATCAACTTTAACTTTTCCTGTAACAGAGAAATGTTGATGTATGTAATATGATACTGTGCTGGCTTCGCCCATGCCATTTATATGTACTTCATTTACTGATTTCTAGAAAGCAGACTTCACAGTCATGGACTCCATAATTGTTTTTGCCTGGGAATTACTTTCTTTTGAAATGCTTCAATATCATAATGTAATACTAGAATGTAAATGCTAATAACCTTTAAACAATTTGGTTCTAATTTTTCAAACAATATTAAAGCAGAAAAAATTATGTACCAGGTTCTAATATATATATAGAATGGACAATTGTTTTTAAATTTCAGTACAGACAATGCATTTTTCCCTATTCCAAAGACGCTTGGCTATATATAGCTATAGCACCTAAACAGTTCAATATTACATGGGATCACAGTTTTGTTCAGAGCAATATGCTATCACTAAATTATTTTCTCAAAAACAAAACTCAAGATTTGTTTGATATTATGTAAGTTTAGATATTTACGCCTACCCCGACACCTGAGATATATCGCGACATACGTGTAGATAGAGGGTCTAATTATAACGACACAATGGTATATCATCAAAACATTTACCTATAGTTAATGTTATTGTGACCATGACCGAAATTTTGAATTGAACCTGCAGATACAGCTGCATGGTCATCAATATATATACCTGTTGCAGACTATTAACAAGAGGCCAAGAAGGCATGTACCTAACTCATCTGAATATTTAGGTAATCATGACAACACCTATATTCTTGTTAAAGTAAACTGTGTCCAGTCAAATTAATATAAAGCATACTACTTAAGGTACTATTTTTGTGTACTACATGTAGATAAATATACTTTTAGTTATTGTTACAATATCATTTTACATCAAGACATGTTTCGATTCAGGGAAGGTTGAAGGACACAGAAATTAAACATCTACAGTATATATAATAATACTACATGTTAATGTAGATAAACATACTTTTAGTTATTGTTACAATATATATCATTTTACATCAAGACATGTTTCAATTCAGGGAAGGTTGCATTGAAGGACACAGAGATTAAACATAGATCTACAGTATATATAATAATACTATATGTTAATGTTAAGATAAACATACTTTTAGTTATTGTTACAATATCATTTTACATCAAGATATGTTTCAATTCAGGAAAGGTTGAAGGTCACAGAGATTAAACATCTACAGTATATATAATAATACTACATGTTAATGTAGATAAACATACTTTTAGTTATTGTTACAATATCATTTTACATCAAGACATGTTTCAATTCAGGAAAGGTTGAAGGACACAGAGATTAAACATAGATCTACAGTATATATAATATTACTACATGTTAATGTAGATAAACATACTTTTAGTTATTGTTACAATATCATTTTACATCAAGACATGTTTCAATTCAGGAAAGGTTGAAGGACACAGAGATTAAACAGAGTTTGTTGACCTTGTCAGTTTATCTACTATAGATATTTTACTGATGTTTCATCACCAGCTCATAAAGTTTAACCATAAAGTATGGTCATGTCCTATCACTAGCTATAGCTCAAGTACACAAAAAACCTTGACATGTCATTGCTGCTAACGCACAGAAAACAAGAGGCCTACCAGGCCTGTATTGTTCACTTGTGTATTATATGTTTATGTGAACTATATTGCAAGAAGTAGAAAAAGTTACACTTACTTTAGACTACATGCAAATGGCTGCCACCTCAGAATATTTCTTATTGGGGCAAATTAAGTAGAATTACACTGATAATGGGCAATGGCAGGGATATCTGTATTGAAGCATTTCATTTGGTTTATATCGATCTGGATGGAAAATCTGTCACAAATGTTTCAGCAAATCAACTGCCGACCATGCCAGTACTCATATAAAAATATGTATATTCTCTTTCCCACTTTCACTGTCTCCATATATATACGCTAACACTTAAGTAAGTCATATTAGCCATCACACACAATAAACTGTATGGCAAAACCATTATGTGTACATGTAGAATATGTGTCAGATATGGAACGTGTGGAGATCGATACTTGATAATTATATGATTTCAATACTTTACATAGATTGAAGCATACTTGTAAATGGACTCTTCTTTATGTTGTGACAACTTTTCTTTAATCAGTTTTTTTTTGTCCAAAAATGAAGCTGTAGTTATCGGCAGCACGCGTCATTTTTACAATGTGAACAAATGACTTTTTCCCCGTTTTAAATGTGTATTCCGATTCTATCTGAAGTTTTTAATTAATTATTTAAAGAGAAAAAGTTGTTGCATGATCATACATTCTAAGTCAACATCATGCATGTGAAAACATGAACTGTTGAAACATTGCGATTTAAAAAATATTTTTGTTATGCGATCCTATTTACCTACTTTAAGCAGGTTCTTCTTTCTCAGTTATTCGTCCTGGCCCGTCATTTTGACATATTTAAATCTAGCTGCGATAATGTACCTTTCTGAGAAGAGATTTTTTTTATATACATGTATTGCGTCGTCACGGCAGAGGGACTGGGTATTAATATCAGTACTAATTTAAATCTTGCATGTAAATACAAAAAAATCGTTTAATTCAGCAATATAATTAAATCATACCATTTAAATGGATCCAGGATTATTATAAATTATGTAAATCTAATAGCGCACATATCTCATTTGACCCCGAGTACCGAAAGAGGAAAGAACAGGATATGCTGTGGCCATCACAACAGTTATCCCTTCGAGGGCCTTATAGCAAAATCAAATTTTAAACTAACCAGTCACGTATCCTTTCCTTTCGCATAAACTGCTGTATATAGAAACACAAGTATACACTCTCTCCGATACATGCTCATTAACGCAACAAAATAAGTGTATCTGTGTTCAAATTCGCACAAAGATACTTGTTGCGAGGTAATAGTTTTAGACATTTATTCATAACATAAACAGCGCTAGCATTTCTGTCGACTCCATTTAAGCTTTTAACAGGCTATCTGGAAGAATTACATACAGGCATTTCTGCTTTGAATACGTCCCACCTTCAATTATGATTCCATAACCCACTCATTGCGCTATCTTTTGACCATTTGGCAACTTTTTGCTTCGTAGCCGACGCGGAACATCGGTTTTCTTCCGCGTACCTAGTTCACATGGCCAGTCATTTTGTTTACAAAGAAATTGTGTGCTATGCGCATTCGCTAGTAAAGGGAAATCCCTGAACAAAACTTTGGTCAGACAGGAAGAAATCCTGATGATTATATAAAATTATTCATTTATATGAATATATATCAGCCAGATCCGATCGTTATTTTCTATAAAGGAGTCATATATGATATGTTTATGTAGTATTTAAAAAAAAGTAAAAAAAATACACACTTCAACGTGATGTCCCTTTAATTGATACTATTTATGTAAGCAAATCATATCCAACTATAGCAGAAATGGTGTTGGGTAGCTCATGATTTGGCGCCAAAGATTACACCATTATATATCTCAAACTATTTGAGATAATAAAAAATTTCGTCACTGTTGTTCACTTTCAAAAATGCAATTAATAGAAAATCTAATGGTTTCACTGAGAAGACCATATTATCATATATGCTTCGTAGTTTCAGAATTTTGATATACCGACATTTTCGATCATGCTGGATATTCATTATAAATTTGTAACGAAATGTACTGAAACCAGTTGTTAACAATCCATTCGTTAAACTTGAATGCGATACCCCATAATCAAACATGCAAGTAATTTCTGAAATATGTGCAATTATTTGTTCATACAACGCAGCAGAATTATTAATTTACTGAATTTATGATTTGTTAATAAAATAAAATTTACCAAGACTGCATGATCCCTTGGTTACATGTTTGTGCATATACCACACAGATGACATGAATATTATATACGTTATCCAATGCGTATTAAAAATCAAAATATACTACAGAAGGACACAGACAATTTCATTATAATCTGTAATGGACGAAAGTGACGATGACAGAAAGCAGTGAGATACAGCCAACGACGGTGATCAAGACGTTCAAAATAATGTCAATAACTAATAAATAAACGAAAAATATAACACACACACGAATAAAAAAAAACTCTGAAAATTACAACAATTAGCGTTGGTAATTACAACAAAACAACAGTGATCTCAATTATTTTTAAAGAATTTTCAAGATCAGCAACAACGTAGGATCATGAATAACAACGATTTTTGTAACAGTAATCATCTGCAACGTACCGGGAAGAGACAACCCAGAAATCAGACCAGGATTCGAACCCAGGACCTTGAAACTTTAGACTGAAGCTCTAACCAATTGAGCAATCGGGTGAATGACCCAGTCAAGTGCCACTACATTCCTCCCTCCTTAAACAACGTCTTCAATTCTAATGACACATAATTCATACTTGTATACAATTGCACCACTTTCCGTACGTATGTATTTGGTTGGCACCAAAAGTAACAGGAAATAAAAATGCAACAGCCAGACCAGGATTCAAACTAGGATCTGGTAAAAAAAACAGTGAAAGTTACAGTAGCATATGTTGTATACAACACAAACAACTGTTTATTTGAAAGGTATCCCTGGTATGCTGTTACACCTTACGTTTGGTAATTTTGGTATACTAAAATGCATATATATAGACTGCAAATGACTGAATAAACATGTCAAACACTGTCAGTCGAATAACTAAGACTTTTCAGTTTTACTGCTCACACTGTTTATCAAACTTGTTTTTCTTAAAAATTTCATGAATTTTGCAGTTATTTTATTTGGAACTCCGCACCCTTACGATTGAAGACCAATCAGTACTGAGAATCATCCGTTTACATATCAACTACGGACAGTAATCTTATTATCAGTCGTTGTACAGCAGCAAGGTATTGTGAAGTTTAACACCGAAATTAAAGACTGATGCACTGTATAAATAAGAAGGCTAACTTGATCACAGTTGGAAATGACTTACCTCTGAAAAAGTTATCGCAATTGGGATCAAACCGGAAAGGTAACATCCTACAAGCATAGCAAATGACAAGATAATGAGAGTAAATACGTCGTCCATTGTTGGTTATTAAAGAAAAATGTCCAAAACGTAGTTGCTTTCTCGTTTCAGCTGTTTCAAGTTTTGCCTACATGGCTCTTAAATTTTCAGGTCGGTAAAATGTTTTATTCGACAGTATTTGCAAAGCACTTGACTGATACAGACTATCGATACTGCCGAATAATGTTTTACTTCCTCTAGTTTGTTCAGTAAAATAAAATTATATTTTGGACTAAAAATGAATAAATTTCAAATAATAACACAAATTCTTAGCGAAATACATGTTTTAAAGTCAAGGCAATTATAAACAGAGTTCTTTTTTCATTCGGGATGTCTCAGAAATATTCTTTCATCCAGATAGAAATCCTAGAGAAAACCGAACAGAGACCGATAAGGCAATCCCGCAGTATCTAAGAAGATTGTGAATTTTACGTTCCTCGTTAAAAAAAATGGTAAATTTTGGGTGATAGCATGTATTTTCTTTGCCCCCTTAATGAAAACAATTGTTATATACTTTCGTAATATACTTAATATTTTAACGGGGAAGCATAAATGTTTGTTTGCATGCTAGTATCGCGTTTCCCAAGCACGTTTTGCAGCCTCTGCCATGTTGTTGCATGAGGAGCGAGTAGTTTGCTGGACGATGCTTCACCAGCGCGCGAGACCGTCATCGCAACGCGTTCGTGATGTGATGCTAAAATACGAGGTATTCGAAACATCCATTTGTAAAAATGAGCACTCGCTTTTCCCATTTTATAGTAGCAACTCTTTTTTCCACAACAAAGTGTCCACGTGCACGCACGAAAATCAATATTTTATCGTTTTGTTGTTCGTTTTTTTTTATGAAAACAGTGGCTTTGAAATCTGAAAGTGTGTAATCACGTTTAAGCAATGTCGAGAAAAAGAAGAATAAATCTGTGGAGTTGTCGCTCGATAGTTTTTGGTCAGTGTTTTGGAAAATTCGTGACGTTATGGAGATCTGTGGCATTGTTTCACAGTTATATTGCTGTGTGAGGCATCCGAAACATTAACCAAGCAGATGAAGGTGAAAATGGTAATGAAATTACATGCAAACTAAATGTTCAATATTACAATTCAACCTGCAATTGCTTATTAATTAAGGTTCACCAAGCTCCCTGAAAGAGGCTATATAGTTAGTATAATCACCCCTTGATAGGTCATATTTGAAGACCCCAATTAAAAATTGGAATTTACGTATGTAATTTAAATATATTTGACTTGTATTCTAGCTATTAAAATGTTCCATAGCGAGGTTAACAGTCAATATTAAGACATTAAGGCTGACATCTTCAATAAGATTCATCAGTTTGGAAAAATGTGATATCAAAGTTTTACTTTTTACACAAACACGTGGCGACACATTTAATATGTACATTGTTTGTATAAAATGTCAAACGTTCATATCATTAAGGCTGACGTTTTTCGTCAGAATTGTTCATCAGACTTATAACATGTCAATCTCTTTTGAAGCCGAGGTGAATGATATGAAATTACTCATTATACATATGCATGTATAAAGTTCAATTGAATTATATTAAACCTAGGTCATGGGGAGCTTAATTTCTTTTTAACTAGATTCGGAGGGGCATGCTGGTCTCAAAAGTAAATGATTGTTGCTATGGGAATGCACAAAAAACATAGTAAAATGCCGGAGTTACATATTTCACCAGTATATATAAAACCAAGGGCCTTTGACCGTTATGAACACAAAAACTTAATATAAAGTGTCCTTTTGTATTACTTAATGTTGTTATAGAAAAGCTAGACATGTTATAAACATTGAAGCACTTTTCAGTTTCATGTTTATAACATGTCTAGCGCATTCATAACATCACAAACAATTATGAAATGGCTCAACCTCTGAAGTTAATTTATCGATTGAACGTAGAATTTGTTTTCTTGTTTATAATCGGCTAAAATATATTACCAGGGAATTTTACTCTGATTTTAGTCGTTTCGAAATGGAAACATCTATCTTACTTTGAGGCTATTAAGCCTCTCTACAGCTAGTAAAAAAGAAATTAAGCTCCAGATGACCTAGGTATATATATGATCTTCAGATAATAGGTTATTTCATAATATACATTTGGGTCACTTAAGACAAGATATATATAATTACAAGTCCTGTGAATTATTTTTATGAAGACATCTGCAGACTTAGTGACTTATTATTGAGGGGTATAACTGTATTTGAATATTACCTATCAGGAGGTTGAAATTCAGGGTGACTATAGCCTCTTTCAGGGGGCTTAATTATTGAACCTTAAGACAGTTGAAGGTTTATATTTTGAGATTATATTTCATGCAAAAGATAATCAAGAGTGTGATATGAGCTTTTTAATTTGATTTGCTTCTTTCAAAATATCGATATCATATATGTGGGATTGTCATAAATTGTAATAATGTATGCATATGCACTATTGTCTTGTTTGTATTGTAACATTTTCAAATTACTAGATTATATTTCTACAATTGCAACTTCATATTTACGCAATTTTTAAGCTTCATAATTGTATTATACAGTTTTGTTATTTTGTAAACTTAGTCATTCATGTTTTATTTCACATTTCAGGCTCACACTATTTTGCTTGTGCAGGCAACTCAAAAACCAGAAACAAGGACATATTCAGATTACGAATCTGTGAATGACTGTATGGAAGGTACATATTTGTATGGCTAAAAATACAACCTGTTCCAATTTCTTTAATACAACTTTTCTAATGCAATAAGTCAGACACTCATTTTAACTAAAGCAGATCTTAATTCAGCTTCCACAAAGATTGATATTTTCAACTCAAAATTTGACTTTCAATTGCAAGTTATGCTACTTAATGAGGTTGACGTTGAGATACTTTCTGTTCATATGTACATTGTACATGTGCATAATGTCATCAAATGAAAATGCTTGATATGGTTTGTAAAATATTTGGTAGGTTGAAGAAAAAACTTCTAAAAACTTCAATTTAAGAAACATTTGATCTGAAATGATTATGTTGTCAATTCTGTATAGAAAAAATGTATATGAAAAAACGTCCACTTGAATGTGTAAATGATTTTTGTGTTTATATAATTTGCTGGCTTTTCATCGCAGGTATTTGTAAGATATTTGAAGAACACTTGAAGAAAGTAAATCCAGATCGCCCCTCCATAACATATGACATCAGTCAACTGTTTGACTTCATGGACCAGTTACATGACCTCAGCTGTCTCGTGTAAGTCATATATTCTAAACGCTGATCAGCTGGAATGTGTGAATCAATTTCTCGTGTGCATCAAAAACATCAGAGCTAGTCAAAGTCTTGTATCAAATCAGCTTGCTTGTGAGAGTTAAATTCTTTTATCAAGGCAGCTAGCACAGGCTGATTTATACTTAGTTTGTAAAGCTAATATTTAAGTGATGTATACAGACTGGAATGCTACCCTTTTGTCATACAATGCAAGTACTACTTGCTGTTGACCGTTAATTTTCCAGGAGATTTGCATTAGTTGATGATTTGTTGTTAACTTGTTCTGTCGTGAAGTGTATTACAACTCTATCAATAGAACAAAATATAACAAAATTGACTTGTCAGATGCATGTTTTTCTTTACAGTCCAGTGTTTTATACATTACAGATTCCAAAAACAAACGAAAACCTACATACCGCACAACAAAGACTGGGTCAAGGAAAAGATATACATAATGCTTAGGAGACAGGCTTCAAAATAAGGATGGACCAGACCTGTTATTGATACTTTCGGACAGAGGTCTAAACAAACCTGTTCTTGATTAAATATGGGACAAATATGTCTGGCATTCTGAAGGAAGAAAAGTCTTGTCCTATATACGAAACTTGGAAAGATTGTGTTGGGAACAATTGAAAACATCTTTGAGATATTAGCTGGGAAAAAAGGATTCTTACAGAATCCCCACAGATGAAGTTAATACAATATTAATTGAATTTATGTTCCTTTTGAAATTAAGATCAAACCTGTTTGAGTCAGATTAGTAAACCTAAGTCTTTTCCATCATCATTAGCAAGAAATGTACATAATTTCACCCAAAAAAGCCATAACATTGATTTGCTGACAAGGATTCTCATGTTAGATGGAAAAGATAATATGACATTTGGTGACCTATAGGAAACAACATTTTTGTCTAAGCAAATACATTAGAAATTGCATTTCAAATGTAGTCATACTCATTCTTGGAGGATTGAAGATTTTAGAATTGGGATAATTATTTTATTTTCATGCAATAAGATGAAATGAAAAGCAGATCAGAAGAAAGAAAGACACATTTGTCAAAAATGAATGGAAGATATGACTCAAAATATTGTCTTTAGCAAGGTCCGCCTGAAAGGGGAATAATGGTAGTTGAATGTCAATACAATTGTATTTGATTAAAAGTAGGATTATTATATATCTAACCATGCAAAATCTGTGTCAGTACCGGGTAAAATGCAAAATCTGTCAGTACCAGGTAAAATGCAAAATCTGTGTCAATACCGGGTAAACTACCAATAGTTAGGTCTAATCATGCAAAATCTGTATCAATACCGGGTAAAATGCAAAATCTGTGTCAATACCGGGTAAAATACTAATAGTTATGTCTAATCATGGAAAATCAGTATCAGCATGTGTTGGTCAGATGTTATAGGTTGTGACATGTTTAAGTCATGGAAATGATTGAATGAATGTGGTGAGAATAGCCATTACAAATGTATAATTGAATCAATGTATGTCCCAAGTTTCATGAACCGTTACAATTCAGAGCATGTACATCTTTTTTAGCTCATAGGATAATTTAGAACAGGGTTTAAATTGAGTTAATAAACTAGAGACTTTACACTTGTTCAGCTGAACGTAGACAGCTCTCAAAAAAATCAATTTAAATGTACCTTGATTTATCACAAAGCTTTTTTTTTTTTTTTTACACTTTGTGCAAGAACACCATTTGTGACTTAGAACTTAGATAATAGACTCATGACAATATGTGACATAACATTGAATACAAGACATCAAAATTTCAATGTTGAAAACTTCAAAATTATCGTTCTGAGAGAGAAAAGTGTGTTTTTATTATTTTCCCATAAATATTCAGACAACTTCAAGGTACAATTTGATAAAAAAAAATGTCGCTTATATCAGTAAATGATTTCTGACCTTCATTCGAGATTTATTAACTCATATCACACTGATTTATAACCTGGACTTTTGTTCTTATTATGACATTTCTTTCCAGGTTCATTGTTGGTGTGTTTCTTGGAGTTGTCTGCTCCTGGTGTAAAGTTGTGTGGGATACTATGAAACTACTAGGTAGTTGTCTGAATATAAAACTTGACTTTGCATTGTTTGTTGTCTTTAAGGTACTGTTTGTTTCTCCGTTTCTCAAAATCTACCTGGGATTTTTTTTTTTTTAGAGTATTAAAAGAATTAAGCATTGCAATACTAACATTATAGTAAAGTAGATGTAAATGAAGTATGTAATCTAGTAAGTTTGTGGGGTTTTTTGTTGGTGTCTGGTAAGGTGAAGAATATATGTCAAATGATTTACTTAGATTAATGTCTGAAAGATGCATGGATATATAAAGTAATATACATCAACATAGTTTTGTAGTTACTTTTGGTACAACATAGTACTGTGACAAATTCTCTCCAGTACCATAGTAACTCTAGTGAGCCACTTGACAATTTAGGATAGATAAATGATTGTAAAACCTTCCGAAATTAAAAATATAAATTAATCGACATTTACTTCAAGTATATTGTTGTTAAGTTATTGTGAACAAAAGAGCTAAAACTGAGCAGAAAAAGGAGTGGAGGTGCTTGTAAGGGGGGTACTTAATATGTGGATATGTGATGTATGTGTCTGGCTTTTATAGTTTATTATAGCTTTATTTAAAGATACAGTTCTTGATACTGCCTTTTATTAAATATTTTTGTTTGCCTTATTTAGAGTATCAATTTTAAGCTTTTGTGCTTTTGTATGTTATTTAATACTAATTCACTATGTCAAATGTTTAGTTTGAATGATCAGTCAAGCATTGATTTTTTTTTAAATCTATTCCTCTGGTTTATTATTTGCTGTTAATTGTCGTGTATTGAAGGGAAATTAACATTGTTCTAATCATTAAAAAATACAGATCTGACTCATCATTCTTGTGACTTAATACTTGTTTTGTGGAAAAAGAATGAAGTAATGTAACATTAAATTTGTAGTTTGTTTGTGCTGTTCATACATAAAATTTTCAAAACATTTTAATAAACATATGAAAGACTTGTTTAGCATTGTTGTTTTTACAGTGTTAATATTTGATTTTATACACAGTTAATGAACATGTAATTGTTTATAACCACAGTGAAGCTAACATACCACTTTTGATGTTAAGTTTTAACCCCCAGTTGGCAGTTTGATAAATCTATATAGAGTTCCTGCTTTCTCTTTTCTCTGGGCACTCGCTGTTTTTCCAGAGGTCAGATATAGATATAATATGCAGGTTTTAATAGTAATTTCCCATCACCTATTATAAAATGTGTTATGGATTCTGAAATTCTTAAACTTGACTGAGAATTTTGCATTTATACTTTGAAGATCCTCAAAGAGTGGTGGGAGTTATCCTCTATAATTAACTTAATCTAATGGTAACCCTTTCAGTTGATAGTTTTCTGTTTCACATTTAAGAGTGTCTTTCAAAACTTTTGAACACCCCAATTAACCCTCATGTATTGGAGAAGCATTGTTGAGAGTTGGACTTATATGACAACCGATCATTTTGAGTTTGGGAACGTTATAACTGATGATCATACGAGAGGTCCTGATTAAGTATCTCTATAACTGATCAGAGTAAGACACATGATATTAAACCAATCATCACAAGACAAGGAATGCATATTTATACAGGACTCTAGTTTCCCAAAAAAAGAGAAGAAGAAAAATTTCAAATCGTGATGCCATTAAGCGCATAGTTCTTGGTGATGTCACAATTAAATTCTTCATGTTCTTATTGGCTTAAGTGAATGTATTCTGTCATGCCATTAAAATGACTATTAAACAACCTCCAGGTTCCTGCAAGATTGATCTATTTGCTTAAAATTGGAAAGTTTTGAAAGTACTATTAAGTAATGTTGGATATGGTTCTGATGGAAGCATAGTTCTAACAGTTACAAATGTATCTTGTATGCTGTGTAATATTTCTGTGTGAACATCAATCATTCACAATTATTGGGTAGCTTATAATTAAGACGGTAAGCAACTCAACTTTTTTGTTGGAGCCTCAAAACTTGACCAAGAGTTTGGCTATGCAAGACCATCATTAATTGAAAATTCAAAATGAAATTGTATATACAAAAAAAACAAATGGATTGTTTTTGTTTTTCTAGGCTCACTCTATCCTCCTTGTGCAAGCTACCGGCAAACCTGAGACACGTACTTACTCCGACTATGAATCGGTCAATGAATGTATGGAGGGTAAGTGCTCCAACTATGAATCGGTCAATGAATGTATGGCGGGTAAGTGCTCCGACTGAATCAGTCAATGAATGTATGGAGGGTAAGTGCTCTGACTGAATCAGTCAATGAATGTATGGAGGGTAAGTGCTCCGACTATGAATCGGTCAATGAATGTATGGAGGGTAAGTCCTGACTAGGATCATTTTTATTAGCTCACCTGGTCCAAAGGGGGCTTAGGGGCGGGGCCAAAAGGGGGAAATTTGACTATATTGCTACAAACAACTTCTTCTGTAGAACTGTGCACTGGATATCAATCATATTTGATCAAAAGCATTCCTGGGAGGCCGGGATTTAAAATTGTACAAATGGTGTGGCTGACCCCCCAGGGAGCTGATGGGCAGGGCCAAAAATGATATTTGGCTATACTGCTTAAAGCGACTTCTTTTCTGGAACTAAGAAGTGGATATCAACCATATTTGACTGGAAGCATCCCTAGGTGGTGGTGATTAAAAATTGTACAAATGGTGGGGCTGACTCCCCAGGGGGCTAAGGGGCGGGGCCAAAAGGGGGCAATTTGGCTATATTGCTACAAACGACTTCTTCTGTAGAACTGTGCACTGGATATCAATCATATTTGATCAAAAGCATTCCTGGGAGGCAGGGATTTAAAATTGTACAAATGGTGTGGCTGACCCCCCAGGGGGCTGAGGGGCAGGGCCAAAAAGGGTATTTGGCTATACTGCTTTAAGTGACTTCTTCTCTGGAACTAAGTGATGGATATCAACCTTATTTGACTGGAAGCATCTCTAGGTGGTGGAGATTCAAAATTGTACAAACGGTTGGGCTGACCCCCCAGGGGGCTGAGGGGCGGGGCCAAAAGGGGGCAATTTGGTTATATTGCTATAAATGACTTCTTCTGCAGAACTATGCCATGGATATTGATCATATTTGGTCGGAAGTATTCATGGGAGGCAGGGATTCAAAATTGTACAAATGGTGGGGCTGACCCCCCGGGCTAAGGGGTGGGGCCAATAAAATGTATTACTTGGAAATGGTTGAGATCCCCACCATATAACCATATATACAATTGCTGAGTATAAAGAGAAGAATGCACATTTGCTTCCAGGATGTCCCTAGGGTCTGGCCCCACCCTTGGAGACATAGTCCCTGGGCCATAACTTTAAAACGGTTGAGATCCCCACCCCAAAACTATATATACAAATGCTGGGCATAAAGAGACGAATGCAATCATGATATCAGAATAGACCCTGGGGTCTGACCGAACCCCTAGGGACCTAGTTTCTTAGTCACAGCTTGGAAACAGTTGAGAGCCCCACCCTATAACCGTATATATACAATTGCTGAGTATAAAGAGATGATTGCACATATGCTTCCAGGTTGGCCTTGGGGACTGCCCCACCCTTGGAGACTTAACCCCTGGGTCATAACTTTGAAATGGTTAATATCCCCACCCCAAAACTATATATACAATTGTTAGGCATAAAGAGACGAATGCAGTCATGATATTAGAATTGATCCCAGGGTCTGCCCCACCCTTGCAGACTTGGCCCCTGGGTCATAACTTTGAAACGGTTGAGATCCCCACCCCAAAACTATATACACAAATGCTGGGCAAAAAGAGACAAATGCAGTCACGATATTAGAATCGATCCTGGGGTCTGGCCACAACTCTAGGGACCTTGTTACTGAGTCAAAGCTTGGAAACTGTTGAGATCCCCATCCCATAACCATACATAAAATTGCTGGGCATGAAAAATCTAATATAGCTATGCTACAAGGATTGGCCTTGGTGTCTGTCATATTCCCTTGATCTCATTTGGAGAATAATTTGCAATGAGTGCTTAGGTATCCAGGTGAGCGATACAGGCCCTCTGGGCCTCTTGTTGATTGAATATTTTTTCTGTAAGCTTTAGCAAGTCAATTATAGTTGAAAAATAAATTTGCAAGGTTGGATTTAAATAATTTCTCATCGGTAAGAGCTACTAGTTTCTACCATAACTCGATACAGGGACGTATATGCTTTATTTTGTGCCCAATGCATTGTTTTACTCCCCTGATCCATGTAAGAGGAAATGTCATGATTCAAATTATTTTATATTATGCTTCTTTGGGTTAGCCATAGGGATCTGTAGGAAAAAAGGAACTAATAGATAAAAAAAAAAAGGTATAGAGTGTTTCAAAATGACATATATATCTTCGATAAGTTAGTTTCCAGGATCAAAATATTTAAAATACTCAATAAGTATATTTAATACATTACATACACCATGGTATGAAATTCTTATAGTTTCTAGGTTTCATAATTTCAAGAAATATGTTTCTAGGTTTCATAATTTCAAGAAATATGTTAATTTCAAGACATTGAATTTAGCAGATGATAAATTCCCGTCAGTTTTTATTCTTTTAGTTGATCAGTCTTTATTCTTCTTTTTTTTTCTCTCCAAGTCACGAAATCCATCACATAAAATGATGATGCTGGACAAAAGCTCTCCCCAGCTATTGTCATTCTGAAACGTTCTGTACCTTTTAATTAAAATTTCAACACAATTTACTATATTATGTATTTCAAATATCTCCCCTTTTTAGCTCACCTGGTCAAAGGACCATGGTGAGCTTCTGCCATTTGCCGTCCGTCAACTTTTCCTATAAATTGATTTTGACCAGATTTGGCCTGGAGCATCGTGGGTAAAGGGAACTCAATTATGTTTAAATGGAGGTTGAGGCCCCTCTGGTCGCTGAGGGCCTAGCCCTATAGGGGCATTTAAAGTTTAAACCTTTAAAATCCTTCTGTATCATTGGAGGGATTTCATCCAAATTTTGCATGGAGCATCCTTGGGCAATGGGGAGTTAATTTTGTATAAACAGAGGGTGTGGCTCCTCTGGGTGTTGAGGGCCCAATAAGGAAATTTGAGGTTTAAACCTTTAAAATCCTTCTTCTGTACCATTGGAGGGATTTCATCCAAATTTTTGCCTGGAGCATCCTTTGGCAAAGGGAACTCAATTTTGTAAAAACAGAGGGTGTGGTCCCTCTTGCTGCAGAGTGGTGAGGCCTAAAAGGGGAACTTGAGGTTAAAATCTTTAAAATTCTTCTTTGTCTGTGCCATTAGAGGAATTTTATCAAAAATCTGGGACTAAAGGGGAATTTGAGGTTTAAATCTTTCAAAACAATCTTCTTATTTTAACCAAATTTGGTCTGGAGCATCCTTTTGAGAAGGGGACTTAATTTTGAATAAACGGAAGGTGTCGCCCCTCTGGGTGCAGAGAGATAGGGCCCAAAAGGGGAATTAGGGGTTTAACTCTTTAAAATCCTTCTCTTTCAAAATGGTTGGAGTTATTTTTACCAAATTTGGTCTAGAGCATCATTTTGCAAGGGGGACTTAATTTGTTTTAACAGAGTGTAGTCCCCTGGGAGCAAAGGGGAATGGTCCAGTAGGGGAAACATGGTAATGAAAGTTTAAAATCATTTTCCTTCAGTTTATCTGGAGGTTTTCAACAAAATTTTGTGTAGAGCATCCTTGGGCAAAGGGGACTTAATTTTGCATAAATATATGGTTGCTTTTTGGGGGCAGAAGGGCAGGCCCAATAGGGGAAATTGAGGTTAATCCACCCCAATTCATAACGACAGAAAGAAGGGATCTAATGAGGAACGGGTGTTGCTGAGAGACAGAGCCAATATTTGGAAATAGTTGCAGTATTATATGTTATAAGAATAATTTTTCATGGTTGCTTTATTATCCATGATACAGGCCCTCTGGTCAAATCCATGCTTGTTATTATTTCTCACTGAAATTATCAGATATAAGAGTTTTGAATAAGTGATGAAATACAAAGCAGTTATGAGATGAATTGTGCAAGTCACTTCAGGCCTTAAGTTCATGATACAATCTTGTACATATTAATACATGAAATTGAAATGTGGAATACCAAGTACACTTCATGTTGTGAAATGTTATTTGAAATAATTGATACTAATACATTACAACAATAATGAAAAAATATAACACCAGTTTTCTTTAAAAATATTGGCAAATCCATGTGTACGTATGCACAGCTTTATTGATTTCTGTTGATTTCCTTACTTAGAGTGTGTTGGCACAAAGCACATGTCATGATCAATATTGACATTTTAGGTATCTGTAAAATATATGAGGAGCATTTGAAGAGAAACAACGATACCTGTCCCTCCATCACATATGACATTACACAGCTGTTTTCCTTCCTCGACCAGCTGGCAGACCTCAGTTGTCTGGTGTAAGTATACACCGTCATACTACCCTCACCAGGTTTAACTCATTCACCCCTGAAGACACATTTGAACTCCTTCAATTTAATGGTTGGAATAGTTCATTACAAATTTCAGGGGTGAATGAGTTAAATATCAATACGAATGTGTTATTGCATTACATCTGAAACAGAAGTGTTACATTTGTAATCTCAGTTTCTGAAGAAAAACCCAGCCTTCAGCAGGTTAGTTTCTGTGATAAAAAAAAGTTCTCTTATAGGACATATTTCTGACCTATTTACTAGCTTTATGGTACATAAAGCCCTGTGATATTAAAAAACAGAGTAATGTAATTATGTCTGATGTTAAATGTAATTATGTGTCATTTCACAAAAGGGACCCAAAACTCCATACTAGTTGAACCTTTTGACTGTTGGTGTGGTTTTATGAAAACTTTGATAAGTTCTCATCCGCTGTGATAGGTTTCAATACTGTAGAACTTCAAAGTGATGAAAACCTGATCATATCATCGATTTGTGTTGTCTGGATGTCCTGAATGACCATCAGAGAGTTCTCGCTCCAATATCATTAAACTTTTAAAAGGTTTTAGTCCAACTTTCAATTAACAATAAAGTCTATATTTATCTCTGAAATCACATCAAATAGGAAATACCACATTTACAACACTAACGTTTAGGCAACTCATGCTCAGACATAATATGATGTAATATTTCTAATAAATAAATCATGACTGTAGGGCTCATTGATAATCACAGTAGAGGATAAGACTGTTATTAGTTCTTAGTCTTGGGTTGTGTTTTAGAAGAAATTGCATGGTATTGCATGTTTCTACCATGATAAACAACACTCCTCTTTCCAGAATATTGTGATTCTACTATGACTTCCATACTTGACACTACTTTTTTTGTGGTAGTACATATTTTTTTTCTTTTCCAGGTTTGACAAGTCTTTGGGGTCTTATAAACCACACAACAAAGACTGGGTGAAGGAGAATATTTATGTGATGCTAAGAATGCAGGCATCATCATCATGAACAACACTTAAACTACCATCTTTTCACTTTTCATCCACAACCATCATGTATGATAGTGTCAGAGACACATTTGAGGGAGTTGTACTGGGTATGTTAGGCCTGAAGTTTGTTTAGTTGTAGTTGATGGGACCTTGATCACATGCTGTACAGTGTATAGTGTAATTGGAAAGATTTTTAAATGTTTACTCTACTGGAATTAGGGTTGAAGTATTTTGTCTAGATGTAAGTTTTCAGTAATAAATCAATATACTGATTAAAATACATGTAACAAAAAAAATAGAAATTCCAGAAATTTAGAACTCCATTAAGAGATTATACAAGAAAATGATATCAGTTGGTTCAATGCTATTATAAGAAAAACACCACACTTTTACGATTATGTAAATCAACATACCAACTTGATGTCATTGTTCTACTGTGTTAAGTTATCAAATCGCCTGTCATTCGTGGTCTGTCTATCTGTCGTTCAACAATTCTTGTCTTGCTATTTCTCAGAAAGTACAGGAGGGATATTTCTCTAATTTGTAATGTAAGTCTCTAGCTGTGCATGTTTACTTTAGAAACTGATAGGAAAAACTAAACCATCTTGGATTTTGAAAGTTTATTTGTATCGCTAATTTACAGAAAGCACTGGAAGGATCTTTCTAAAATTTGATATGTTTGTTCCCCTGGTTAAAAATACCCCTGATCCTAGTAAGAACTATAGTTACCTCTAATTATGTAAGAATTTCATTTTTTTTTAGCAATTTGCATAAAGTTCTGCAATTCTTATACTGTACGTTTATATAATTACCACAGTGGTAAATAACATGACATTACAAAGTTTAATTTAAGGTATAAGATTCCTTAATATGATTTCCATGATGGAACTGGGTATTAGTAACTGTAAGGAAAATGAACAGCAAAGACGGTATCTTTTGTATATCTGATATTAGAGCTGTCACAATATATCGGAAAACAGATTGCATTACACGGGTATATCATATCGTACCACAATACAGAGATGAAATACGGCTGTATTGAAATATTTTTCAAAATCATATTTTCATGTATCATTACTACAAATTTTAACAGATATGCTTATAAGCATAAAACAGGCTTTTAATTGTGGTAGGAATCGGTTCGAATTTTGTAATCTATGGTTGGTTTGAAAAAAAAACTTAAATCAACATGATCCTTATTTATGATTAAGTTTGATAACATTCTGACAACAACTTCTTATAAAAATGAGCATGTCTTTCCTTTGACAATATATCGGGATACATAATGCTATATATTCATTCTGTATTGCAATATTTCGGGATCCACTCTTGGCGTATTGTGACACCCCTATATGATGATATAGATCCTTTCATGGTGGGTGCCAAGATCCTTCTGGGATCTCGTTGTTTCAAAACACATTAGGAGATCCTTATTAAGGACACGTGGTTACAAAATTACGCTGAAACACTGCATGCACCAGTTATTCTTTATATTGTTTCCTGATGCATCATGAGATGAGCGTCATGTATTACCGTTCGAGGTATATGGTTTGACATGTTGTAAGGATTCGTAGTTTGACAGAAGTGTTAAACACTAAGATATATCATCAGACGCTGTTGTCATGTTATACATTGTGAAATATATTGCCCAACACTAGTGTGGTGTTAGGTGCCTGTCACAAGGGTCACTTTATATATATAAGATACATCATTTGACATTAGTGTCAAGTTATACGTTGTCAAATTTATAGTTTGCCATTAGTGTCATATCCTACATTTAAACAACGCCGGTGTTTTTGTTTGTTTTATTGTTAAAAATCATGATATTACAGAAAATTCCATTAAAATCAAACTTATATGTCACTTCTGTTTAAACTTCATTGGACTGTACAATTGATAAAGATCAACCTTCATTTCATTTCAGTTCTTTTTGTATGTAGCATTTTCAGTTCCATAATGTTTTCTCTGAAATTATGAATGATTAAATTGTTATAAAAACTATTGATGTCTATGTGTTGTCCGTATGTATATATCTGTAAATGCTAGTCGCATTAAAATACAACTTGTCACTTTAGATGTCGTATAGATCTGTTTGTCAGATTAATGATGCATGCTGCACTACTGTGATTGACAATATCTTACAAAACTATTTCCAAACTTAAGAAACTAGTTAATATATTTTAGGAATAGTAAGATGGACACGATAAATTAACTTATTATGAGAGAGGTACACAGGAGATAACATATTGATAATGCCAACATCAGTAAGTAAAGCCAAAGCCAAACTCGCAAGTCACGAAGGAAGAAGGGACATCTTCTCAATAACCAAAACTCTCAGGGGTGATGATATCTGGATAGAAGCTGGCTTGGGTTAAGTGCTACAAAGTTTGTTCAAATGAATGACCTTGACCCACTTTCAAGATCGCAGGGGGCAAATGGTCAAACTTTCAAACAAGTTCTGTATATTGACAATTGTCATATAGACGTGTCACTTTTTATCTAATTAGTGAACATCGTTAAATCTGTTAACACGAAATGAAACCGTGGGAAATAACTTAAAATACAACTACAGAAAGTAATAATATATTTCATTTAGCGATTTTGTTGCAAATATTAAACATTTTGTTTTCATTTTATAACGCAACATGGAATTCGATTATTCTAAGTCAGTATTGTGATCGAATACAAGTATTGTGTCGTAGAGGAGTCAAACATTCCAAAACCGACTGTAGTTAAGTCTTCCAATTAAAGATTGAGACGCTTTTGTCAAATTTTTAAATGTTCTTAAAAGCATTCCCCACCTGTGTGAGCAGAGGGAGTATCACCAAATTTGTTATAGATGATCTGTAGGCAACGGGGATTAAATTGTGTATAGATGGAGGGTGCTTGGAGACGGTTAAAGCGGAATGATATGGAACAGTTTGGGCGGCTAATTTGAGAACATATAAGTGGGTGAATTGATGACGGTAGAGAAAATGGATGTGGGATCTGCCTCTATTCTTAGGACGTAGTCCCTGGGCCATAAAAAGAAAACATTCCCGATCTCCATCCTGCAATACATATGCAATGCTTAGAATGACGATTTAGATACATACATGCTACCAGGATTGACCCTTGAGACCGGATCTTTCTCTAGTATCTTATTTGTCATGGTACTTTTAATGAAAACATTTTTGCCATGATTGCTTTAACATCCAGATGAAAGATTCAGTCGCTTTGGGCCTCTTATATTTGTTTCCCGCCCCAAAAAAATTAAAGCATATCACTAAAACAAATTCCAATCAAATGCCTGAACTGTTTCTAAGGATCGTTTTAGCACCGTCTTCAAACACCATGAGATATGATAGTGTTCTTCAGTCACCCTGCAAGAACTTGTTCTAAGCAATTCACAAAACATGTTTTCAAGCACAATGCTTTTCTTCAAACATCAAACTTTAACGTCTCCAAGCGATCCACTAACACTCTCAAAATATCCTCATTGAAAACGTTCAAACATCCCCCTGAAACCTTCTCAAAGCATCCAGTCAAAACTGTCCTAAAACATCCACCGAAATTTGCCATCTCTATAACTGCATCACGACACCTCGCTTTTATTTTTCTCCAACACCCGACATGAATGTCTCTGAAAATATCCCGTACCCTTCTGAATATGTCTACAAATCGCCCATCAAAACTTGATCCAAGGACCCCAATAAATCGTCATCATGATCTGCATATTATCAGTTTGATAACTGTTTCTGGTACACTTAGATAGTAAGTCGGGATATCTGTGTCTGGTACAATAAGAAAGTAAGTCGGGATATCTGTGTCTGGTACAATTAGATAGTAAGTCGGGATATCTAGTGTCTGGTACAATTAGATAGTAAGTCGGGATATCTGTGTCTGGTACAATTAGATAGTAAGTAGGGATATCTAGTGTCTGGTATGTGTCTGGTACAATTAGATAGCAAGTCGGAATATCTGTGTCTGGTACAATTAGATAGTAAGTCGGGATATCTGAGTCTGGTACAATTATATAGTAAGTCGGGATATCTAGTGTCTGGTATGTGTCTGGTACAATTAGATAGTAAGTCGGGATATCTGTGTCTGGTACAATTAGATATTAAGTCGGGATATCTGTGTCTGGTACAATTAGAAAGTAAGTCGGGATATCTGTGTCTGGTACAATTAGATAGTAAGTCGGGATATCTGTGTCAGGGACAATTAGATTAGTAAGTCGGGATATCTGTGTCTGGTACAATTAGAAAGGAAGTCGGGATATCTGTGTCTGGTACAATTAGATAGTAAGTAGGGATATCTAGTGTCTGGTATGTGTCTGGTACAATTAGATAGAAAGTCGGGATAGCTGTGTCTGGTACAATTAGAAAGTAAGTCGGTATATCTGTGTCTGGTACAATTAGAAAGTAAGTCGGTATATCTGTGTCTGGTACAATTAGAAAGTAAGTCGGTATATCTGTGTCTGGTACAATTAGAAAGTAAGTCGGTATATCTGTGTCTGGTACAATTAGAAAGTAAGTCGGTATATCTGTGTCTGGTACAATTAGAAAGTAAGTCGGTATATCTGTGTCTGGTACAATTAGAAAGTAAGTCGGTATATCTGTGTCTGGTACAATTAGAAAGTAAGTCGGTATATCTGTGTCTGGTACAATTAGAAAGTAAGTCGGGATAGCTGTGTCTGGTACAATTAGATAGTAAGTAGGGATATCTAGTGTCTGGTATGTGTCTGGTACAATTAGATAGTAAGTCGGGATATCTAGTGTCTGGTACAATTAGATAGTAAGTCGGGATATCTGTGTCAGGTACAATTAGATTAGTAAGTCGGGATATCTGTATCTGTACAATTACATGTTAATTACGGCTTACATAATTGATGACCAAGATACGCTTTTGCCAGTAGGATATTTGTGTCTTGTACCATGCTATGTTCACTCTGGCTTACATAATTGGTGACCGAGTTACGTATTTGTCCAGTAGGATATTTGTGTCTTGTATCATGCTATGTTCACTCTGGCTTACATAATTGGTGACCGAGTTACGTATTTGTCCAGTAGGATATTTGTGTCTTGTATCATGCTATGTTCACTCTGGCTTACATAATTGGTGACCGAGATACGTATTTGTCCAGTAGAATATATTTGTAAACAAATGTGTACTGCTGCTTCTCATAATTGGCGGTCAAGATACATACGGGATTGTCTGTTGGATATTTGTGGCTTGTTAACACCAGGTTCACGTTGACTTACATATTGGTGGCTTAGAAAAGCTTTTGCCATTGAGATATTTGTGGCTTATATAATTTTCCATCCAGATACGTTTCATGGAAATAGGATATCTATGTTAAGTACAATAATATGTTCCCAGTGGCTGACATAACTTTAAGTGGCTTATACACTGACTAGATACGGTTGCATCCAGTTGTATATCTATGTTAGGTACATCAAGTCCACTAGGGCTTATATTAGGGGTGACCATGCCACGTTTTGCCAACATAGTAATGACATTATGATTGATTCACATCCTGGTGAACCACATAGGAGGGATAGATTAACAGGATTTGGAGGGGGTATTTTAATACATTATAAAGATACAGTTTTAACCAAAAGGAGACATGATTTAGAGAATGATGATATTGAAATATTATGGATTGAAGTATGTGAAGGGAATCATATTTTTTTATACTTTTACTTGGATGTAGACCCCCTGATGCAAATGTTGAGTACTGGACAAAATTAGATACAATTCTTGAAAATGCAACAAACACAACACTAGATATAATTATTACAGATGATATAAATAACGATATGTTAAATCTACGACCTAACTCGCATCTATCTAAGCTCTTAACAAAGTATAATATTAAAAGTATGATAAAGGAACCTACACGTATAACTACAAATAGCTCTACATCACTAGATGTATTGTTAACAAACAACAGTCGTTCGATTCAAAGTACATTAGTTAGTCCAAAGTTGTGTAGTGACCATTCACCTATTAGTTTTATTATTTCTTATTCAGTTTTTAAACATAGATCATGCAAGAAAAAAATACTGATGTATGAAAATGCGGATTTTGGGAAAATTAATATGTCTTTGAATGAAATAGACTGGTTAGCAATCTCACAAACAAACAACACTAAAGAATTTAATAATATACTTACTGAAGCTATTTCTGCTCAAATTGTTAAATGTATACCTTCAAAGTTGATAACTTTCCGGCCAGATGACAAACTCTGGATGACCAATAAAATAAGGTTGACACTAAGACAGAAAAAATAGAATTCACAAAAAAGCAAAAAATAGTAATAGTCAGACTTATTTGGAAACTTTTAGACTAATTAGAAATGAAGCTATTGATATGATAAGAAATACAAAAAGTTGTATCTTGAAAATCTCCAGAGATCTTTATGTGATAGATCTGTACCATCTGTAAGTGGTGTAGCTACCTGTATATCAGGAATCCATCGACTCCAGTGTAAAGAAGTTCACTAAGGCAATACAAGAATTAATGGAACCTTTCTTTCGTAAAACTGTACATGATAAGTGTGCTAAGAAAACCCATGTTGAAAATGTTAGATGTTTGACTGTAGAGACTAGGGATGACAAGCCCTGGTTTAATGATGAAGTTAAATGTTTACATAGAAAATATTTATCTGCCTTAAGAGTATTTAATAGTAATGCAAATCCAACAAATTACGCAATGCTCATGACAAAGAAAAAACAATATAAAATTTTGGAATCTAAATTGAAGAAGCAATATTTTAGCGTAGAGGGTGACATGATGGAGTATTTGAGGAAACATAATCCTAGATATTTTTATAAAAAGTTTGCAAAAAAAAAAATCAAATCCACCTAATGTTTCAATGTACCAATTATTTGAGCATTTCAAAAATGTAGCAAATTCTGGAGTTGACTTTGGACATAACGAAATTATAAATAATGAGAATGATGTTAATGTAATGTTTGATGAGTTATATACTCCTATTTCGTTTAGAGACATTAC